TATATATATATATATATATATATACATACATACATATAACACATCCATCCATACAAACGGATAGATAGACTGATATAGTAAGAGAGAGAATATAAATTGAGCAGAAAGCGGTAACACATGACTCTATATACACAGTCTTTGGAGACAATAGCCAGAACACAGTAGAGTGGGTGTTACACGTAAATATCTCGGACAGAAAGGGTGAAACACTACCGTCTACACCACACACACTATCCATCACTTCTGACTCCCTTGCTCTTTCTGCATTCTGCTTTCAACGACGCCGATGGAAAGTAACACAACAGCTGACAGAGAGCACGGGGCTTCCGGCTGCTCAGGTAGGCCTACGCTCGAAGACATGACGTCACTTCCGCGTACCTGGGGATTAGGCACGAGCGAACGCCCAGCAAGATGCACTGTTCAATACTATTCTTGCGTATCTTGCTTGTGTGGGGGGTTGAGGGGGGGGGTCCCTATAACATGACACTGGGAATGAACACTTTGAAACATCCTATATAGAAAATAAAATAGACCTATAACACGCTTTTTTAGGGGGGTCAATGAACACGTTATCCTGTATCCAAAGAGAGTCTAGCAACTACTCCTTATACGATTTTTTTCTCGGCTCGGAAAAAAATGGTATAGTTTCCCCCCGAAAGAAAACGATTAAAAAAAATGGGAAGAGCTAAGCATCATGCAGAGCGATCTTGCTGCGGTAACCGAGCATGACAACATTACATAGATTCATCAGAAACTTCACTTACTTTTGAGGTAAACTCTTGGCTAGTGACAAAGTCATATCCATACATATATGTATGCGTAAGTGCATATGTATACATACATACATATATATGTGTGTACGTGTGTGTGTGTGGACATATATATATATATATATACATATATATATATATATATATATATGAATATTTATTTACACATGTATATGTATATATGAATAAATATATATATTTATATATATATATATATATATATGTATATATATATATATATATCTACACACACACACACACACACATATATATACATATATATATATATATATGAATATTTATTTACACATGTATATGTATATATGAATAAATATATATATTTATATATATATATATATATATATATAAATATATATATTTATTCATATATACATATACATGTGTAAATAAATATTCATATATATATATATATATGTATATATATGTGTGTGTGTGTGTGTGTGTGTGTTTGTATGAATATATATATATACATATATATATATATATATGAATATTTATTTACACATGTATATGTATATATGAATAAATATATATATTTATATATATATATATATATATATATATGAATATTTATTTACACATGTATATGTATATATGAATAAATATATATATTTATATATATATATATATATATATATGTATATATATATATATATATCTACACACACACACACACACACATATATATACATATATATATATATATATATATATGCTTGTTTGTGTGTACGTGTGTGTTTAAGCACTTACGCATATACATACATACACTTAAACGTATACAACATCAAATACATAGAGAAAGTACCAGCATAAAATGGCATTATATTAACAGGGATACAAGATTACAGTAAAAACACATTATGTACCAATATGACAACCTTGATTCAGAAACTTCTCAGCACAGTTGCAGTCTGACACCACCGGAAGGCAAAAGGAATCTGTATTTTCCGTATTTTTATCGTTATCTTGTGTTTATTTGTTTACCGGCCGGATGACGCGTGGAGTTACTATCGGATTGTGATGGAAATGAAGATCCGGATTAGCGTTCGGTTCCGGGATTCTTTATATTTGTGAATCCTGAAATAAATAGGGTCTGTTTTTTTATTTACTTTTTTATATTTTTTTTATTTTTCAAATTTTTATTTATTTATTTATTTATTTTTTTATTTATTTATTTTATTATTATTATTATTTTTTTACCGTATAGAGGTATAATGTATAAGCGCAAAATGAGTATTTTCCCCCATAAAGTAAGGCTAGCGGTAAGGCTAGCTAACCGTACAGTAAAATGTAAGAGCATTTCACCAATCACTTTTACGCCATCGGAATGATCTTGTTCTGATCTTGACCAATCAGCAAACAGCATTCTGATACACGTAGAAACGTTCGACCAATCATGCTCGAGAAAAAATAAAAATACCAGTTTATACGAAGTCACACGTAATTTGTTTTTAAAGGTTTATAGGGGATTCCATAACACATTATGTAATGTTATGATTAGTGTTAGATTACATATGAATATATACACCTCCCACATATATATAGGCTTAAATATATATAAGCCTTAATGTATATGAGTGATTGTTTGTGAATGTGTATATACATAAATGCATATGTATATTTATATGTAAATGGATATGTGTATATATATATATATATATATATATA